TGGCGGTGCTGTTGGCGTGACAGCCCCGGTCCGAGGAGACCGCCGGCCTGTATGGCGTGGAGCAGCAGCCTCGCTGAGGAAAGGGCCAGCCCCTAGGGCCCGGAATAGCCCAGATCCTCTACCCCGTCCTCGAGGCCATACGTTTCTTTTTCGCCGGCTGCCGGCACCAGAAGTAGCAGCCCCCGCAGGCCCTCAAGTACTGACGCCTGACGTGTCGGCCGGTGAGATGCTTGGGGCCCCAGCTCCAGCCTGAGGTGGATTTTGTAAACAAAATGAGGGGCCTGTCAGTCTTACAGGTAGGAGCTGCTCTTACATGTATGCTCTGAACACACATAATCACGGTGAATACACCAAGCGCGCTGGCCTGTTCGCTGTTTGGTTGTACTTGTGAGACTTGTTGCAGGAAAGGATTCACAGCACTTTCCATCTTGAAGGAAGGCGCCCCCTCACACGTGAGGAACCTGCCTCCTTTCTGCGTTTGACCCCAGCGACTTCGAGCAGCTCCTTACCTACTTGCTATCCTTGCTATCTTTTAGGAGTCTTTCAGGCTGTGCGTTGCATCGCATAGGGAGCGTGGCTTGAGGATTTTTACATCTAGCAGACATTGTCTGAGGAATAAAAGTTGCAAATCTGAACAGAGGAAAAACTTACGTATCCCAGCACAGGGCAGTAGTCTGCAATAACTGCCCTGCTTGGCTGAATGCCTTGAAAAATAACCTGAACTGAATGATTACATGGAAACAATAAGCCATATCTCAGCTATAATAAACTAGAACAACAGCGCAGCTCTGTGAAAGAGGACTGGCATTCCATACGCATGCAACAGGGAACAAGTGCAGCAATCCAAAAGCAAAATAAGTGTGCAGAGGAGAAATGAGACAGAGCATGACAAAGTAGATATTGACCTAAATCTTCTCTCACAAGTGCTCTGTATCCTTCCCAACAATATAATAAGCTAGCTTATTGGAAGACAGCCCTGTGCTCTGTATAGCTTCTTCCTATTAGTTACTTACAGTAGTGCTGATTTTAGACAAGTGTTTGCTCTAAGGTTGAGCTTGGTTTCGGCATACTCACTGGAAATCAGGACAGATGTGGGTGCGTTATGACTGTCCCTGACAGTAAGACAGTTTCTCAAGGCAATTTTCTCTTCCTGTGACTTCCATCATAGTAATTGAGATCCATCAAGTGTTACTTCCGCAGGTATTTCCTCTGAGATGCTCATGTTCCTTCATTAGCTCTTTCCTGCATTAACTTTTTAGCCTACAAACATAATGCATTCCTCCCCCCTTTCCCAGAATAAGTCCTTACAGGAGCAGATGGTATTCATGAAGTTAGGCCTCCAGCTTAGCTGACCAGCCTCCATTAGGTTTTGTCTATAGTTAATGAAGAGGCTCCTTCAGACTTCGAGTGAAAGTATATCTGAGGTAGGGGTTTAGCTCTCTAATTTTCATCTGGTGGGGTCACTCTTGCTTCATTGAATGTAAGAACTTGGAGATAAGCAGATGAACTCAGATAGCTAAGACTGGTGCCTAAAGTTGGAGGTAAAAAGACTTTCTTAGAGACCAGACACTTGCTTCCCTCGTCTTTCTTCAATACAATAAAATGAAGGGATTGTGTGGACTGAGAGGTAGTGGAGTCTCCTTCCCTGGAGATATTCAAAACCCGTCTGGATGTGATCCTGGGCAATATGCTCTAGAGGTCCCTGCTGGAGCAGGGAGGTTGGACTAGATGATCTCCAGAGGTCCCTTCCAACCTAAACCATTCTGTGATTCTGTGACTGAAATCCCTGTGCATCAGTGAGTGCTCCCAGCTTGCCTTGCTGCAGAAGCAGCAGGGTCACTTTGCCAGCAGGTTTTCTGCAGGAGGTTGTTAGCTTTTTCAGGTGTTTTTTCAGAACTCGTGACAAGTGAACCTTTTTGGGTTTTTTTCTGAGAGTTTTACCATTTCCAGCCCCTAGCCCAGTTCTGTCCATTGTTCCGCTATTGCACAGAAACCTGAGCTGAACCCGTGGGCCCCTGTGACATGACCCTTGGTCTAGCGGTGGGGGAAGGCCTCTCACCAGCAGGCTTTGTGCTCCCGTGGTGCTAATGCTAGCTCAGGCAGCTGCGAGCTGCCCTAGGCGGCTCTGAGGGACATCCCCCTTTGAATCTTGCTGTGGTGGATTAAGATGTGAACTATTCCCAGGTATCCACCCTGCTTCTCTGCTGGAGGTTGCTGCTCCTTCCTGCAACAGAGTCAGCAGAGTGAAAGCAGACCTACGTTAGCTGCTCCATCTGGTAGTCAATCTAAATTTAATGTGAAAAAGAGTCTGCGCAACTATGCCAAAGTGGAAATGAGACCGTGGTGTGGGCATGTTAGCAACTCCAGCAGGTATGTACCGCGAAACAACTCAGGACGGTGGTGTCTTAAAACACTGAAGCCGTTGCTTAGTGGACATGGATCAGAGCCCTGGTATATGCTGGGTCAAACCACTCTTCTAGCTGCCTCTTGGGCCCTATGTTTTGCCCTAATCTGAAACTGGTCGGTTGGAAGTACAGGGCTGGCTTGTGGTCTTTAAAGCTTTAAGTGAACTAGGGAGGAACAAGCTGTCTTGGCTAGCAGCTAATATAGCTTCTTAAACGATCATTCGTATTGTCTGTGATATAACAAAGATCCCATAGAATAATACATGTTTTTCTTAACTTGATGCCAAACATCTTGCAAGGCTGCAGCCAATATTAAAAATCTAAAGTGAATGACATAGTTGAACAGCCATAGGAAAATGTGTACAAGTCCTGCAATAAAGCCTTGTGGCTATTTTATTTTATTCTACAAATAAAGACAACTGTCCATCATTAAATGGAAAAAAAATAATAATTTGAGTGGTATATAGCATGAAACAGTAGTTCCCTCCACAAAAACATTTCTAGTTCATTAGTTTATTACAAAATATCCACTCACAAAAAAGCACAAGCACAATCTTTATACTTGTGAAATGAGTTGATATTTCATATACAAAATAATTTCCACATAATTCCATATAATTTTATTTTATATAGAAATAGGTCATTATTACAACAGCTGTACAATACACTACTTTGTATTTAATAATTACATAAAATCTTTCTTAGAAACATATCAACAGAAAACATACAAAAAAAGCGAAAAGTGCATTTCTTTCCCCCCCCCCCCACAAAGGAAAATGCAATCCTAAATGTTATGATGAAAGAGATACATAATAGTCTGCAGCATCCCGAGTCAATGGGCCAAAACACAGTGCATATTTCTCAGAGACTTGTTGTGGGTGAGTTATTCAGTGTGAAGAAGGTTCCATGTTGTATTATTGGAGAGTTGCATGATTGTGCTTATAATTTGAGTTCTCCCTTGCAATCGCAATTCACAGAGAAAACAGTCCAGTGTTTTTTTTGTTTTTAGTCATGATGAACAGGTAGGGTAAGCTGCATAATACTGTTCAGATTCTAAATCGAGGGTTATGAACTGTAGAGTATCTTCACCAGTAACGGCTTTCTTCTCCATTGGATGTGCTAATTTGGCCACAAGAATAAGGAAACAAACTTCTCTTTACAGAAAGTGCCTAGGTTTTGTCCTCTGTGCAGTTGTGCAAAATAATAACAATAATCATAATAAAAATAATCTCTTGTTCTCTCCTCAATAGACCTTTGACGCAGTGCTTTTCATACACAAAAGAAGAACTGAAACAGTGAAGGCCAAGTACCTCATGTGTCTGTGCACAGTCTTTTTGAATTGCCAGGTCACTTTTAGAGTGACGCGCGACGATTGATCTTCCTCTTCTGTGCACCCATCGATGATGGAGTTTGCACAGGATCGTGTTCCTTTTTATTTCGCTCTGACAGTACATACTGTACTCACGAGACAGTGCAAACTGAATCCGACATGCCTTGAATGAGTGCTGTCTGTGGCAGTCTGCACTCTGGGGCCTACTCCTGACATGGAGCTTTGAAACAAATGCTTGTGCAAAAGCCAAAGCAGTAAGTACAGAGTCATTCTCGTCTGCCCCGTGTGCCCATTGGTTAAAGCTAATCGTGCATTGATTGTGCTGGTGGGACTCTTATCGCAGTGGCTGTGATAAATTTGATGATTCTGATAAGCTATTGCTTCTTCTTGATGTTAGTTGCTGCTGCTGCTGCTGCTGCTGCTGCTGTGTCTGATGATACCCCATATTTCCTTGCTGTGGCGAGTAGGATGGCAGGAGCAAAGAATCGGGTTGCTCATTGTGCAAAGAGCTTGCTGTTTGCACCTACAGACAAAATAAAATTCATTGTGTGGTTTGATTCTGTCACAGATTAAAGCTCTTCGTCCTCAATGTACAGGGCACTTAAAAATATTGCCAGGTTGCTGGCTGTTATTTCTGAGGCTGTGTGTTTGGCATGGGGTTAGCTTACCTAATACTAGATGGAATGGGCTTAAGTTGCGGCAAAGAATATTACAATTAGGCATTGAGAAAGGTTTTCTAATAGGAATGGGCTACCTAGGATTTTCAGGTTATCTGTTGCTGGAAAAGCCTGTTTAAGAACAGGCTGGGCAAACACGTCACAAATGACACAGATGATAGAAGTGACACAGAAATGACGAGGTATCCTAGTGTACCTCATGAGGTCCCTTCTTTTTGTGCGTTTACAGCAGTAAACTCTTAGCGTTGAAGTTAATGTGAGTTTTGCAGATGCTTTTATTGGGAATGAAATCTGCCATAGTTATTGAATTAACTCTCAGCTATAATAAGGATTCCCTCACAATAACAGCAGTTTAATCATTTGAGGTTGATGATACTCTTTCAGTGATCCCAGTGGGTTTGTGATCAGGTTTTATAGGTTCAATTCATCTCCTTCTGCGTTAATACAGAGATACCTCTTTCCTCCCTTCCCCCATCAGTGTGTGTTGAGTTAGCCAAAAAAAAAAAGTATTTTTGCATCTTCAGTTCACCTGGTTCTTCCAGGCGATCTGCTCCAATTTATCTTCTTTGCCTTGTGGAGATGAGGAAATATGTTAATTTATTGAAGGGATCCAGATATCTGATCCAGATCTCATTTTATGTCGATGCACTTGTAAACTAAGCAAAATTTATACTGAATAAAGAGTACAGAACACATCCTAAGGCAGCAATTTTCTGAGTCTAGAAATACACTTCAAATGCATCCAGGATAATCTGATTATGTTCCCAATGTACAGGATTAGTAATTTCCTTTGAAATAGTCTGACTGTTCTCACTGCTCCCTTGCTGTATTGCTACATGACACAGTATCAGTGTCTTGCACATTTCCTATCTTTGAAATAGCCATCTCTGGCAGGATCAGGCTCCCACTGAAACTCGTGGCAAAGCTTCCACTGGCTTGCAAGGGCGTGAGCAGACCCCATTGGCGCAGCCCATTTGCCCTGTTACTCTGCGCGTGGGCTTTGTACGTTGTCCTCCTCGACCTACCCTACCTGCAGGTAGTGTTGCTGCTGATGCTGTTGGTGCTGGAGTTGCATAGGTGGCAGAGAGGATGGCTGGGAAGGAGGGGTAGTGGAGAACCCTTGGTTTAACACTGCTTGTCCCATCAGAACGATTGGAGAGCTGCTGCTGGAAGTCTGCACCTCCAGACTTTGAAACATTTGTTGGTTTTGAGAATATCTAAGAAAGAAAGAAAGAGGTAAAGCAATCAAGGATAAACTGTAGGAAGCAAAGGTCTTGTCTGAGGATACAGGGGTGGACATCCCTGTTCTTAATAAATCATTCTTAATATAAGGATTCCAATGCATAGGCCTGTTAACCTGAAAGACCGCATCAGCTTTGGCAGCTGTTCTGCTTAACGCTGTGCATGAATATTGGTGGTACGGGACATGGAGGACAGAATATGTCTCACCTCAATGTCTCGACCTCTTTTTAGGTTTACTGAAGATCCTGGTTCAGGCATATCTTCTCTCCAGCCACTGCGTTCACATGACAGGCTCATTAAAGCAAATGGCCTTTGATTTTATATTAATATGCTGAGCTCTGAACTGCAATAGCGGAGAAGTAAATACACCTCCTTTTCTGCTGCCTGCACTCCCATACCACTGCCGCTGGGGGTAGTAATCTCTTGCAGAAAGATGGGTAGGGTTGATTACTTTTTAAGCTGCTCCTGTACAAATGGCCAAGTCTAGTCAGCAATTCCTATAGCTGTCAGCCACATTATAGGAACAGAAGAAACATAGATTCTGCCCTCTAGAATAAGGGATGGGCCAGAAACAAAATACTCAGTTCCTCTCGCCGGTCTGCTTTTGCGCAGCAAAACTTAAATACTTGTTGTTTTATGGGAGGCTTTGGGCAAAACCACAATGGAGCTGTTGCCAGCCCAGCCTAATTCTGTTTATCCTGTAATGGTTGATGAGATCATAGTGTGGTGCGTTTTTGCTAGACAGCTGCTCAAAATTAGGGCTCAGACAAAAATGCTAAAATTTAGGTACTTATATAGGATATGAGCTCCTAAAAGGGTCCTGTGAGTCAGGCAGAATACATGGATTGGGAGATGTATATTTGAAAATCAGATCTCTTTTATTTAGATGCTTAAAAGCAGATCTAAAACGCTGTATTTATATTCAAAGTAGAAAATTTTGACTGAAAATAATATTGGAATAGCAATCGTGTTGCTTAAAAAAATACTGACTACCTACATTCCTGAGGCTTCAGTTTGAAAGTAATGGTATAGAGCTAGTTGCCACATTACAGTGACAGCTCCCAATTATGTACAAGGAACCCTCCCCAGCCCCCGCCAAAAAAAAAGCATTTTCTGCCTGTTGTTTCCTGCTTCCTTCCTCCAAGTTTTGAGGAGAGAAACACCTACGGGGGTTCATTTAGCAGCTTCTTCAGAGAGTGCTCAGGGGCAGGGGCCTGTTTGCTCTTTCGGTTTTCCTGCTGCAGATGAGGCATAGCTCCGCGGCAGTTACACTAGCGTCGCACTGGGCAGAGGGGAAGAGCTCGCTTGGCCCTGGTTGTTTCCGTTGGGTCGGTACTGAATTTCTCGCTCACATTTGCCTCGGTGGGTCGGAAATTCCAGCGCCCAAGTGTGCGCTGTGTGAGGGAGAAAAATTACCCAGCGTTGGCTCGCTAAAATGCCACTGGCACGTTGTGTTCCTCTCCGTAATCGTTACTGATGGGACCAGACGTGGAAAGGCTCGCTCTGTCACTGGAAGCCAGGTTTCGCACGTTCCCGATATTTATAATTGCTTTATCATCTTATTAATGAAGGCTGTTTCCCCTCAAAAGCGACTCTGGTGTTTCATCTTTGACAAGCCACATACTTAGCCTGGGATCCAGCCATGCTGAGGTCGGAAGGGTGTCTTGCATTACAGGACCCAGGCATCATTGGCTGAATAGGCTGGCTGAGCAACAGTCTTGTGCATGGGAAAAAGAAAAAGCGATATTGCTGTAACAGAAGGACCGCACGCATGACACTTTTCGGAAACCGCGAGGGGATGCTTTGGCAGGCAGGGCACAAGCCGGAGAGGTAGAAATTGAACCTCAGCTCCCAGCAGTGACGGACGCGTGCTGCGCGCCGCCAGACCCGCGGGCGCCTGGGGCAGCGCGGTCCGTTTCCCCACCAATCTGGGTGCCTGGCCGAGATGCCGGGCGCTGGGAATTCAGGAGGGCGACGTTTGCGGCAGGAAAGGCGCGCGCGTGTGAAGCTTCCTGACTATCAGGCGATTAATCCCTCGGTTCTGCCTGTCTAGTGCGAGGGGCTACGGAGTTTCGCCAAGGCCCGGCCCCGCTCCGTCCCCCACGCAGGGGACCCGCAGGGCGGCC